CAGTTAAGAATATCAATTTAATGATTGAGCAAAAAAATTTTTGCATTCTTTTTCTTTCAATCATAGGTGAAGAAATAATATCTTGACATGATAAAATGGACAAAATTCTATCTCAAACTAAGACTCAGACTAAGTCTGATTTACTTGATAAAAGCACCATTGTTAAGACTGCCTCTTCTATACAGTCTCCTGTTGAATTAGACAATTTCAAAATTGAACCTTCTGTTTCTGATTTTGAAAAAATCATTTCTAATAAATTTAGTAAATTAAACATTTCTACTTTAAATAGTGATTTTGAAGAAAGTCCTGAAACCACCTCTACTAAATATGACAATACATATTGTATTAACAAAATGAGATGGGCTGATAAGCCCAACCTTTCTAAATTCTATTATAATAGACCTACTCCAATGGATGTCCTTCATGAAGAAAACGAAAACTTCTTCAATACTTCCTATTCAGGAAAGAGCATCTATGAATGGAATATTGATGGCGGTAGTGATAAACATATTATTACTCAATGCCATCGCATGCTTATGTATGGTTCTGCTTGCAGAATTAGTGGTAACAATGATTTACAGACTGCTCAAGCCATTACGGTTGGGTTTACGGGCCAGCTTAAAGGTTGGTGGGATAATTATTTAAATAATTTAAATAAACAAGAAATTTTCAATTCTATTAAAATTGAAGATGGTGAAACTAAACCTAATGCGGTTTACTCTCTTGTTCTTACCATTCTCGAACATTTTACTGGTAGATTTACTAATAAATCTGAAAACACCAAAACTCTTCTTTTAAATATGAAGTGTAAAACACTTTCTGATTTTAGATGGTACAAAGATACTTTTCTATCACGCATTTTCGATATTCCTGAATGCAATCAGGATATTTGGAAAAACAAGTTTGTTGATGGTCTTCCTTACTTGTTTGCTGAAAGGATCAAAAAGGTCCTTAGAAAAGACTCAGATCATATTGCATATGAGGCTTTTACATTTGGCCAAATCGTTAGTACTTGTATTCAAGAAGGACTAAGTCTTTGTAATGAAATCAAGCTAAGAAATCAGATCCGTAAGGATAATCTGTTAGAAAGAAAACTGCTTGGTCATTTTTGTGACCAGTTTGGCCTAGACAATCCTGGCAAAAAAGATTTTCATAAGAATAAAAGAGAATTTAATCATAAACCTAATTACAGGAAAAGAAGAAGACATTATGATGATAATAAACAGATTAACCATTCTAGAGATAAGCAAGATAACGACAAGGGAAGAAATCGTTATCATAAAAAGAGGTCCTACAAAAAGGATAGTAATTTTCTTAGCAAAATTGTTTGCAGAAAATGTGGTAGAACAGGTCACTATGCTAACCAATGTTATGCTAAAGATAAGATTAAAAATCTTGATATTGATGATAATTTAAAAGAAACCCTTTATAAAATTGTCATGAATTCTGAGGATGATACAGATTCTAATAGATCTGATTCCTCTCAAGAATCGGATTTTTCCGATGATATTTCTACTAAGAGTAATGAATGTAATAATTGTGCTCTTGGTCCACCCTGTCTTAAATCGTCATTAAAGAAGCTTGTTTCTTCAGAAGTCTTAGAGTCTTCTTAAAATCTTCTAAGGACTGGACAACAAAATTGTTTCTCTGTCTGATCCTTTCTTCAATTAGGAGAAATTCTTCAAGGGCCGCAATCTTCTTTTTAAGAATTTTGAGATAATTCTTATCTGTGATCTTGTTAGATTTTTCATCGAACCTAACATGAAAAGGAACCTTCCAGATATTCCAACCTGGTGACGAGCTGAAGCGTACGAGAAAAATTTCCCAGTCTTCCATTAATCCTTTCCTTTAATTTTCTCTTTAAGAGAAGATTTGAGTAAATCAAAACTTTCTTGTAAAGAAAGATCTTGATAATCATCATTAGGGTCCTGAGCATCTTGGAGGTCAGTAACAGAACTCATAGAAGCATCTGATTTTGAATCAGAAAAGTCGATATCATCGAATAAATCCTTCTTAATATGGTCCATATAAAGATCCATAATTTTTTCTTTAGAGAATATGTCCGAGTACTGCTTGGAGAACTCAGAGAACGAAGGAAGACTATATGAAGTCTTCTTAGTAGAGATCTTCTTGTGATCTTCCATTTTGGATTTAATCCTCTGGATATTTTCCTGTAAAGGTGACTCATTGGAGCCAGGAGTAATAACATTTAAGTTATTCCAAAACCTTGTCGTATGGATTCTCCATAAACACGGCGTACCGTTGGTTGTAAACCCAAATTGTGGTTTCCATTTCCAAACCCATGGGATTCCGGAATCAACAAAAAACATACAAATAGTTTTACTACCTGTATTGTGAGTTTTGAAAGAAGAAAAACTAATTGAGTATTCTTCTAAGAGAGGTTTAATCTCTTCTGGCAAAATGTCTGCCATAGCACCAAAAGTTTCCCACCAAGAGAAAAGCCAGTTTGGAATTTGATTCCTACTGATATTATCGCAAAGCTTTATAAGCCAGGTGTGGGAATGCTTAGGATTCTGGTATAAAAGGGTTTTATAAAAACTCTGCAGGTAATCCCAATAATTGTATTGGAAGACTGACCTAGTTACTTCATTGGTAATGGTTTTTTCTGCAAAAGGAGAAGTACCCCATTCTTGGATGGAGATGATCTTCTTAATAACAAATTTAGAGTAGTTAATGATCTTACTCTTTGGAGGATAGTGTTGAATATCAACACTCCCCAGGCTGGTGAGGATATTCTCATAGAATCCTCTTGTCTTGTAAGTTTCGACCTTCCAACAATTTGCCGGAAGATATTTATCCATGAGAATCCATGGGGACTCTTTGAATGTTTCATCGTCATTTTCAATGACTAAGATCAGCTCTCTCTTAGGGGAGTCAAAGAATTTGTATTCTTTCTGAGCCACTGCCGAATATGATTCTTCTTCATCTGATTTTGAGGAATTTTCCTCCATTGGTATATTTTTTCCTCTTTGTCTAAGGAATTCTTGGAACTCCTTTTGGACCTTGTCTTCTTTTGAAGAAGAACCAATACCAGAAATATTCTGGTTGTAAAGGGATTTCTTCCCTTGCTGAATAACGGGGAAACCTCTGCCTCCCCTTCCTCTTTGAGAGGAAAAAGGGTGTCTTCCAGGATAGCTCATGTCTGTCATGAAGAAATATATTCACGAGTTAAAAAGTCTGGAAGATGATTATCTTTCCCTTGTTTATGAACAATGTTAAAATCAAAGTAAGCAAGATGAGATTGCCATCGGGCGAACATCTGTTTAGAAACATTATGTTCAAAATCTTTAAAGAGCATAAAAGTAGCTGCTTTACAATCAGTTTTAATGGTAAACTTTTGATTGTATAAATCATCCTGAAATTTAAGGACACATTTAACAATAGCAAGAATCTCTTTAGCTGTAGTAGAATAATTCTTTTGAGCATTATTCCATTTACCGGAATAAAATCGAATGATGTATTCAATCTTATTATTAGGGTTGATTTGTTTTAAAATACCCCCATACCCCAAATCTGAGGCATCAGTTTCAACGTATTTTTCCCACAAAGGGTTAGCAAGCATAAGACACGGAATGTTTTTAACTTTCTCCTTAATATTAATAACAGCCTTAGTGTGATTATCACTCCAAGGAGAAGGATTCTTCTTAAGCCTATCATATAAAATAGCAGAATCATTAGCAAGATTTTTAATATAAGAAGAAACATAATTAAGACTTCCTAAAAATCTTTGTAACTGAGTTTTAACGGTAATAATATCAGGAAATTTATTTCCAAACTCAATACTTCTTTGAATGGGAATGATGTTTCCTTTTTCAATAGTATGGCCTAAGAATTTTATCTTAGTCTGGAAAAGAACCATTTTAGGTTTTGAAATAACTAAACCATTCTTTATGATTAAGTTTTTGAACATATCAAGATGCTTAAAATGCATCTCAATGTCTTTAGAGAAAACAAGAATATCATCAATATAAACAATGATAAAATCGCTATACGGACAGAAGATATCATTCATAATTTGTTGAAATTCAGAAGGAGCATTCTTAAGGCCAAAAGGCATGACATTCCATTCGTAATGACCGAAAGGGACATTGAAGGCAGTTTTATACCTGTCAGTCTGATTAATTTGAATCTGCCAGAATCCTGATTTTAAATCAAATTTTGAAAAAACAAGAGCATTGACTAACCTATCAAGAAGATCCTTTTTATTAGGGATAGGGTGTCTAATCCATTTAAGAATTTTATTCAGAGGTTTGTAATTAATCACCAATCTGGGAACACCTCGTTCTTGCTCTGAATGTTTATTAACATAGAAGGCAGTACAAGACCATGGGGACTTGGAAGGGGAAATAAGCTTTTTCTGTAATAAGGATGATATCTCCTTTTTACATAACTCTAAATATTCTGAGTTCATCTGGCAAGGCCTAGACTTAGTAGGAATTTGACTATCTTTATATCCTTCTTCATAGGGAAGAGAAACAATATGTTTTTTTCTATCCCAAAAAGCATTAGGGAATTCATTGCAAATGTCAATAGAGAATTTATTATATAAAAGCTTAATTTTATCTTGAAGTTTTAAATTCTTCAACCTATCTTCGACAGTTAAAGAGTTAATTTCTTCTTTGAGAAAATTGACCTGACAATTTTTAAAATCAATTTGATCTTGGATAGAGTTAAGAACCTTGTGAATAGGTTTGGTGATAAACTTAAAAGAAATAGGTTTACCATTATAAGTACCTGTAATACCTCTTTCATCAATAAATGTAAGGGGATAAATCTTATAAAGAAATGGAAGGCCAATAATCATTTGACTAGTAATATCCTCAGCAATAAGAAAGTCATTAGCAATACAACAACCTTCGATACAAACATAAGCATTTTTAAGCTTATAGTTGATTTTTAATGATCCGCCTCCTGCGTGAGAAAGAGAATGTGTAGTTTTTTCAAAAAACTTGGTGGGAATTTTTCCCATTTGAATGACACTTAGGTCAGCACCACTATCAATCATAGCAATGAAGTCTTCCTTATAAGAATTATTAATAAGGAGAGAAATCCTAGTATACCATTTTTGAGAAATAATGATATTAATGGTAGATAAATGATTTTTATTTAAATTGTCAAACTCATCGGAGTCAATAAACTGAGGCTGAGCAGTAAAAGTTTCTTTTTCTTTGCCTTTTTCAATAATAGAAAGCCGTGACGAAAATTCAGAATTATTCTTTTGAAGAATCTTAATATCATTTTTAAGATTATAAATCTCTTGACTTAAATCGTTGATAGTAATAGGGCAATTCTTGATACTCCTAAGTTTAAGCAGGTTATCTAATTCTCCCATGTTGTAATAATTATTATCAATTTTACTAGAGAGACTGGTGCTAGTATTACTAGTTGAGGGACCAGAATCATGTAACTGGTCAATGACCTTATCTCTTAAACTAGAATCCTTAATCTGTTTAAGAAAGTCAAGAATATTATTATTAGTTAAAACATTTATATTCAGGTCTTGGAACTGACTCATGAGTTTATAATATTCATCTTCAACAGGATTATCTGTATCTTTGATGCAATTAAGACAGGGTTTACCAAGAGCACAATTATTACATTCATTACTCTTAGTAGAAATATCATCGGAAAAATCCGATTCTTGAGAGGAATCAGATCTATTAGAATCTGTATCATCCTCAGAATTCATGACAATTTTATAAAGGGTTTCTTTTAAATTATCATCAATATCAAGATTTTTAATCTTATCTTTAGCATAACATTGGTTAGCATAGTGACCTGTTCTACCACATTTTCTGCAAACAATTTTGCTAAGAAAATTACTATCCTTTTTGTAGGACCTCTTTTTATGATAACGATTTCTTCCCTTGTCGTTATCTTGCTTATCTCTAGAATGGTTAATCTGTTTATTATCATCATAATGTCTTCTTCTTTTCCTGTAATTAGGTTTATGATTAAATTCTCTTTTATTCTTATGAAAATCTTTTTTGCCAGGATTGTCTAGGCCAAACTGGTCACAAAAATGACCAAGCAGTTTTCTTTCTAACAGATTATCCTTACGGATCTGATTTCTTAGCTTGATTTCATTACAAAGACTTAGTCCTTCTTGAATACAAGTACTAACGATTTGGCCAAATGTAAAAGCCTCATATGCAATATGATCTGAGTCTTTTCTAAGGACCTTTTTGATCCTTTCAGCAAACAAGTAAGGAAGACCATCAACAAACTTGTTTTTCCAAATATCCTGATTGCATTCAGGAATATCGAAAATGCGTGATAGAAAAGTATCTTTGTACCATCTAAAATCAGAAAGTGTTTTACACTTCATATTTAAAAGAAGAGTTTTGGTGTTTTCAGATTTATTAGTAAATCTACCAGTAAAATGTTCGAGAATGGTAAGAACAAGAGAGTAAACCGCATTAGGTTTAGTTTCACCATCTTCAATTTTAATAGAATTGAAAATTTCTTGTTTATTTAAATTATTTAAATAATTATCCCACCAACCTTTAAGCTGGCCCGTAAACCCAACCGTAATGGCTTGAGCAGTCTGTAAATCATTGTTACCACTAATTCTGCAAGCAGAACCATACAT